AACCATTACTTTATACATAATTTAAAAGCAGTGTAAGGGAGATAATTTCAATGATGTATTTGATTTATCTCCCTTACACTGCTTTAAATTATGTTTTGTACTAAAGTATTTGTCCATTAACCAGGACAACCTTGTTTTTCCCCCTTTTTTGCCCCTAATTCCTAAACGGTTTGAGCCATAACCCCCCAAAAGCAAATCCTAACCATCCCTTTGTGGTATGGAAACTTGTAGTATAATTTCAGAGAGATCCATACACCGTTACACAGTTATTGTCTGGAAACTAGAAAATGCTTATTTTTGGCCCCTTTTTGGCCCCTAATTCCTTAACTGTTGGTACCATAACCCCCAAAATCAATCCCCACCTTCCTTTTGTGGTATTAAACCTTATGGTAAAATTTCAAAGAGATCCATTCACTTAAACTAAAGTTAGAGTGCGAAAACCAATGTGTCTTCGGACGACAACGCCGGACGACGACGCCAACGTCATACCAATATACGACCGCAAAATTTTTTTGCAGTTGTATAAAAATTGCAAAGGAAGGATAAAAAAGCAATTGTCCTAAGATTTGTGTTTGTATTAAAGCTTCAATAGGTTATTAGTATGAATTTAGATATGATTATGACGGACTTGTGTTTCAGACAGTAACGTTACACACACACACACACACACATAAATGGACGAACATACAGGGCAGAGAAACACACAAATAAACAATACAATAGAACATTACGACAATCTAATAGTTATCAAAGGTGCCAGGCCTAAAGATGAAGAGCATTGATGACCCAAAATTCCAAAAAGTTGTGCCAAATACCAGTGTCGGATCCAGAGGGGGGCATAGAGGGCGTACCCCCCCCTCATTGCTTGCACTTTTTTTTTTGTAAAATGATTAATCAGATTAGACTTCGTGAACTTTGCCATTTCCCGCGTATTTAATTTTTATGCGACAATTCTTTACTTATAAAGATATGTTTCGCTCGTATTTACTGTAATATATTATTGATTATGTCAAAATCATGTGATTCGCTACTGTGGAGTTGACCAGTGCGTCGAAAAAACGTTACTCAGCCATTTTGAAATTCAAATTACTGTAACACATTGCTTAGACTGAGGATGACAAGCATGACACCTTCAAAGCGACAAAGGATTGAGCAAGAACGTATTTATTGACTTCTATTTCACAATTCAACCCAACAGAAAGTAATACTCTATTACACTCTCATGAAAAAAAGTTTCACAGCAATATTATTCACCTACCAAAACATGTTTAACCCCACACGCCCCAGCCTATTAATAACATAGCTGAATAATGGTCCCCCGTCAATAAGCTCTAGATAGATTTAAAGTCTAGGTACGGACCATTTGATTTGAGGGGGCAGTCTGAGATGTTTGAGAGAAAAAATTCTGACCCTGATTTTTGCCTTAAACAAAAAATTCTGGCCGTATCTGGATTGAAAACAATAATCTTGTTCACTTTTTTTGCTATTAGAAACAAAAATTTCCAACAGAATTATTTAGCATTAAATGAACATGATGAATAAAAAATTCGTATGGGTTCCGCAGAACCCAGTGTCTCGCCTACTTTTGCTGTTTATCGCAGGCTCAACAAAAAAGAGGAAAAAAATTAATAAAAATATTCCTCTCTATACTATCTTTTGATTGTAAGTAGCTTCTGTCCAAGTTTGGTAAAAATCCAGGATAGTTTATGAATCTAATAAATGTTTTAAAAACTTAAACTGCAGACTGTATGTAATGTTAACTGGAAGAAAAACTAAGTCCATTTATAAGTAAAATACGGAAAAAATGGAATAAAATTTTAACAAAATTTCCTTCTAGATACTAGCTTTTAATCATAAACAAGCTTCTGTCCAAGTTTGGTACAAATCCAGGATAGTTTAAGAAAGTTGTTAAAATTTTAAAAACTTTAACCACAGAGTGAATGTAATGTTAACTGGCAGAAAAACTAAGTCCATTTATAAGTAAAACACGGAAAAAATGGAATTTTTTTTTTACAAAATTTACTTCTGGATACTATCTTATGATCATAAACAAGCTTCTGTCTAAGTTTGGTAGAAATCCAGGATAGTTTAAGAAAGTTATTAAAATTTCAAAAACTTTAACTACAGAGTGAATATTTGTGGACGCCGCCGCCGACGGAATGTAGGATCGCTATGTCTCGCTTTTTCGACAAAAGTCGAAGGCTCGACAAAAAACGGGTTCTTTGGGGCCGGGGGTTTGCATGTAAATCCCATATCTGACCGGAATGTCTGTTTCGTCGAACTGAATATTTTTTTTAAGGCCTGACTGCAACCTGCCTGCTGGGTGTGGCCTTTATGTCTCCATTTGTCGACCGTCATTCATAAATTCGTTGTCATTTCAGACTCATTTGTAGCCTTTGGTTGATTTGGAACCCCTCACTTCCCTTGTTGGGTGAAACATTTCAACCAAACATTTGGATAAAAATTGCTTGTTTGTCTTTACTCGTGTCAGTCGTATTGTAAATTTCATTGAATAGCCCGGCGTATATCTTGTTTACAACAACAAATCCGTGACGTTATGCTAACTAAACATACAACAAACGAGAATTTCCATGTCAATTTTTTACTGACAAGTCCCACATCAAACATATTAGTACATAGCTTTGGATCCATCCAATCATTTTATAATAGACAATTAATGGGGAGAATACGGCATCAAAAATGTCCAACCCTTACACTTTAACTATAAAATATACATGCCCCACGTCAGGAACCGTTAAAAAAAGTGCATTTTACACTTATTTTATGTTTTTTAGCCAAAAAAAGGTCCAAAAAAATGTTCGCGATATTTACATACTTCGCCCTCCCCTTTCCAAAATCCTGGATCCGCCCCTGAATACGGCTAGGTTATCTGCTTAAGTTTGATAAGTGATATGAATAAGCTCAGTCCGAAGAAAGACATGTCAATCTAATCAGAAAAGAATTCTAATTCTGAGCAAACCGGTCTTTACAACCAAGTCCCGCATTGTAAGCTGAGAGGCTGCAGCAGTTTTTACTAATTCTAAGTCGGTTGGTCTTCCTGAATTAAAGCATCATCTTCAATTGTTCCAGTAGCTTTTCGTGGAACATTTTCTTAACGTCTATTTTTAACATATTTCATAGCTGTTTGCAACTTTTTGTGATAGAGTTTTTTTTATGTTTTATTGTTCGGGAGGAAAACTGACAATCCTAGTCAACTAATATTCGAACACACCTACCAAGCATGTGCGGGGTTTGAAGTCACAACCTCAGTGTTGACTGGCTAGCGATATATGAGATGACTGACTACTTAGATCACTGGGGCACATAGGACCCTCGCAATTAAGGAGGAATAGTTTGCAAACACGTCAACGTCTACCTCTATCAATCAATTGGCAGCGGACTGGTGGTTCATAGAATCAAAATTAATATATTTTGACCTCTTTCTTCTAATATCGAATTGATGTTGTTTTATGTATTTTTTCTTTTTATTTTATTTTGCAATTAATTTGATTATTTAACAAAAATCATTGATATAAGCAAAGCTAAGTCAAAATTTATATCACTAAATGAACATTAACATATTTAAGAGCTGAGGTGTACGATATTAGACTCCGTCCATTTGTATTTAAAATATCCTGTAGGGTAATACCGTACACCCACTTCCAGTCCTTTTTATTGGAAATTGTTGCACTTATACTACACGGAAAAGTATCTGTCAATTCAAAATTATTTATGGCATTTTCCATAGTTTCCATCAGTTTTCTAAATTTCAATTAAAATACAAAGTTCTTACATTAAATTAACCAAACTTAAAATTTACACAAATCTGGTGACTTTTTGGAAGAGATCATCTTCTCAAAACGCCAGCGAACAAAACTTTCCGACAAACGGCAAATGTGTACATATTCTATGATAGAAAAATTGTAAAAACGTGAATATACAAGGTTATACATTTCTTATCATCAGTAAATAATATTAAAACACACTTTATTTCTCAATTTTATCAGAAAAACAAGCGAAATGTAATATGTACGGTAATTACCCGCCTGTACCAATTACCCGGATCGACTCTAATTATATGGCTTCACTTGTCAGCTTGGGTGTCAAACATGCTGGTAATCAAAGATTTTTACCTCAGGCTAACTGCCGTTGTGTAATAAAAACTTTGTGTATTTAAAAATAATTGAAATGAATCGTGGGTTACTTCCCTTGAATTATCCTGTTTTAAGTTACTTTCCTTTAAATAATGTAAATTTTAAAAAATAATATAAATAAAATATATATTGAACTAATAATCATAAAAGGATGGTAATTAAATGATTTTAAATGTCAGGACAAATAAAAATATAATAATTTGAAAATTATTTGAGGGTTCTTTACTTACTTTCAAGGCTTAAATTGAAATTTATATAATTTTAGTTAGAATATGTTTCTTAACCTAGCCGACCGTGCAAGGGCTGTATAGCCAGTCAAGGTCGTTCAAAACTTCCATTTGTTGTTTCTTAACCTGTAAACAAAATCTACTTGCAGATAGTTAAAAAAATGTTCTGATTGCAGTGATCATGGTGATTGTTCTAAAGAATAATCATAAAAAAGATATCAAATAAAGAATTAAAGAACATACTGAAAACAAAAAGAATGTTAGATTGAACATGTTGAATAAAGATAGAGAAAATTTATAAGTACAAGGGTACTATAAACATAATACATTCGGATGGAAAGTTAAAGAAAAAACACTTTAAAAGACAATTTCTACAGCACACGGTTACATTTACGACAAAATTAATGTCGATTAAAAACCTCCTGATCTGAGTCCTAATCTCCTGACCAAAATTTCCCAATCTCCTGATCTGAGTTTCACAGTCCATCACATGTATGCATAATAAAAACATTGCAAAAAATTCTGAATTTACAATATGTTGGTAAGGATGAACAAAATCGACAACATTTTTAAAATATACATTCATTTTTTATTAAGCTTTTCGACATGATTACTTTACCATAGAATCAGGCATTCCATGCTGTATAATGGATCTAGCTTGACTTCTTGGGACAATTACATAGGCTAATGGATCTGTATCCTGAGTTATCTAAAAGAAATTTCCATTATGCTTTTCACATTCATTTTGTAAACGTATGACATATAAGGCACATTATAAGCTTTTTGTTTACTTCAATTTTATCAAAGCTTTCTTCTTCTCATTAAGAGTCCCTATTATAATTTAGACAGTTCTCATTACATCTATATGAAAATACTAATCAAAAAAAAAATTATGACCAGCATAAATAAACAGCTGCGCCATGAGCGCATGATATGCCCGTCGTCTTGTGTGTGAATTTTTATGCAATAAGCATAAATAGTTTCTGACATACGGCGTGACATGCGAAAACCCCCTTTTTTTTTTACAAAAAACTCAATATCTCTAAAATAAAATTTTGAATCAAAACCAAAAAGTATACAGATCTTTAGATTAATATAACTAAGAAGTGTGTAAAATTTTAAGCAATAATCATAAATCGTTTTTGAGATACGGCGCGACATGTGAAAACCTCCCTTTTAAAAAAAAAAAAATCAATATCTCAAAAATAAAATTTTGAATCAAAACCAAAAAGTTTACAGATCTTTAGATTAATATAACTAAGAAGTGTGTAAAATTTAAAGCAATAATCATAAATCGTTTTTGAGATACTGCACGACATATGAAAAACCCCTCCCCCTTTTTTTACAAAATGCTCAACAACTCAAAAAAAAAATTTTGAATCATCACCAAAAAGTATACAGATCTTAAGGTTAATATAACTAAGAAGTGTGTAAAGTTTTAAGCAATAATCATACACTGTTTTTGAGATACGGTGTGACATGTGAAAAACCCCTCCCCCTTTTTTAACAAATACTCAATATCTCTAAAATAAAATTTTGAATCATCACCAAAAAGTATACAGATCTTAAGATTAATATAACTAAGAAGTGTGAAAAGTTTTAAGCAATAATCATAAATTGTTTTTTAGATACGGCGCGACATATGAAAAAAAAAACACACCTGTTTTAGTTACTAAGTCCTGTAACTCAAAAAGTTTTAATCTTATTTTCACCAAAAAGTATACAGATCATTTGACCATCATAAGAAACAACTATGTTAAGTTTCATGAAATTTGGATAAGTCATTCTCAAGTTACAGTGCGACATGTTTACGCCGGACAGACAGACTGACTGACGGACGGACGGACACTGGACATTTGTATACCATAATACGTCCCATCAAAAATTGACGGGCGTATAAAAAGAAAGAAAGGAAAATATAAAGTTTATTTTTTACCAAATCAATTTTAGGAACATCCAGTATCATATTACTCACTGTCACAAAATACACCTTTAGATTGTTGATAAACTGAAAGATACTTAATGGCCTATCAATCTTTATAGACCTAGCTACTATTTCGTCCAGTGTCATTCTTCTGGGATGAGGCTCCTGTAAAAACATATCAATAAGGTCACATAAACTTTGGTTTTTAAAATACCTCATGTAAGAGAAAAGTTGTAACTGGCCCTAATATATGTAACATAACAAAACAAAGCAATGTGTGATCAAAATATTGCTGGACAGTAGGAGAGTATGTCCAAAAGTTGCTCGACAGTCGGAGAGTATGTCCAAAAATTGGTGGACAGCAGGAAAGTGTGGTATAAACATTGCTGGACAGTAGGAAAGTGTGATCCAAACATTGCTGGACAGTAGGAGAGTTTGCCCAAAAATTGCTGGACAGCAGAAAGTGTGATCAAAACATTGCTGGACAGTAGGAAAGTGTGATCCAAACATTGCTGGACAGTAGAAGAGCATAGCAAAAACATTGCTGGACAGTATTTAAATACCAACTGATATATTGCCATAGTGTTTGGAGAATTGGACTGATAAGTATGGATTATTGGGTTTTCTATCCATTGATTTTGTAAAATATCAGCTGTGAGTCACATTATGAAACTTTTTGTCGAGTTTAAAAAGGCTTCATATTGTGTCGAGCAGCTGATATTTTACAATATCAATATGCAGACAACCAGATAATCGATTAATCGGTTGTATAAGCGTATTTTCACAATAGAAAAAAGTGTTTTTCTTTGTTTCACCAGCAAACTGGATGATGACTTGATAATTACTGGTCAAACTTATCAACGTCGGTTCATACATTATGACGTTACTGATAAGTCCGGGTCAAAGTTATTAAGGGCGGTCACTGTATTTGACGTCACAAAGCCATGATATGGTAATTTATTAAGAGCTGAGCAGAATGATACAGACAGCGGGAACACCGATTAAGTTGAAGGGAAGGAAGATAAACCCAATAAGAAGTCAGTAACTGTAAGTATTCTTTCAAGTATACAGTTTACTACTGTTTTGCTTGTATCTAATGTTTTTAGTATCTCTAAATATGGTATTACAGAGTTTGGTGATTTCCTAAACTGATTCTTATTCTACATTTGATCTGAGTAGTACAGAAATCAACCTTATGCAAATGAATATCAATACATCTGTGAACCTATTTCGAGTTGAAATGAATTGCTTTGCAGAGCACAGCTGGATACGACCGCAGAGGTCCTACCCTGAACAGTTGGGGCAAAAATGGACACAATATTCGCGCTTGATACAGGTCTGAATTTGGACTGTAATCAAATATTTGACACATAATAGGTTTCTGACACAGAATAACTGTAGTCAAAGAACTTAGAATTGATAATATGATTTGAATTTATATTCATTTTTTTGCTTTTGTGCAATACACTTTGCTGTTGCAAATTGACCCCCCTCCCCCAACAAAAAAAAATAAAAAAAAAAATTACCCCCCCTTTTTTTCCTTTTGTGCAATACACTATGCTGTTGCATATTGACTCCCAGACCCCCCCCCCCCCCCCCTCCTACACTTTTTTTTTCATATTTGAAGAATTTTTCTTTTTAATTTCTGAAATCTGAAATGAGAAAAAATTTACCCCCTATAATTTCTTTTTATCCCCCCCCCCCCCCCCACCCCAAATTTTTTTTTCACCTCCCCCCCCCCTTTTTCCCCTAAAAGATTATTCTTTCCCTCAAGATATGGTCATAATCTTAATTCAAATTTCCAATAGAGTTTGCAACCATAATTACCCATTTAAATACATTATAAAAGCCTTAAAATAGAAAATGACATTACATAATCATGGCTAAAATTAATATTCCTTAATAGTAACTTCTAAAAATATATTGACAGCTAATCATCTCAAGAAAATACAACATTTCTTTATACATAATGTAAAAGCAGTGTAAGGGAGGTAATCAAAATGTTGTGTTTGGATTACCTCCCTTACACTGCATTTAAATTGTCTTAAGTAATTGTCCATTAACCAGGAAACCCTTGTTTTTCCCCCTTTTTTTCCCCTAATTCCTTAACGGTTTGAGCCATAACCCCCCAAAGCAAAACCTAACCATCCCTTTGTGGTATTAAAACTTGTGGTATAATTTCAGAGAGATCCATACACCATTCCACAAGTTATTGCCTGGAAACTAGAAAAATGCTGTTTGGGCCCCTTTTTGGCTCAATTCCTAAACTGTTGGGACCATAACCCCCTAAATCAATCCCAACCTTCCTTTTGTGGTTTTAAACCTTGTGTTTAAATTTCATAGATTTCTATTTAATTATACTAAAGTTATTGTCCGGAAACCAACTGTCTTCGGACGATGACGATGACGTGATACCAATATACGACTGCAAAATTTTTTGCGCTCGTATAAAAATCTCTATCCAACAGAGCTCATTTGTATGCACCTTTTGTCATTCCTGAGAGAGCTTACAAAATATAGAGGGTTGATATCTAAAACAAAATTTAGTTTAACCCCACAACATATCCATAAGCCTGTCCTGAGTCAGTAACCTTGTCATATCTTTAACAGAAGGGAACCCTGATATTACTAATATCTTATATATAAGAACAGGGGTTTCATATAGATAAGCATATTGTTTATTAGTTTCAGGTAAGTATAATACAATAAAATATGACATACAGCTGTAATTAATATACAGTTTACTGATCAGGAAATATTTCTTTACTTTTCCACCTAACTTCAATTATAAGTATCTAGATAATTCTTTAGCATGCTTAAAGTGTGTGGATTATAGATTTTCTTTATCAGAATTTTACATTGGTTGAAGTGAGAGTAACATACTTTTTGTGAAATCAATTATGAATTTGCCAATTTATATCTTTGTGCTTTGATTTAAAATATAACAGATGGCTTAATATATAAATGTTACCCATTTAGAAATCTGTTGGATTAAAAAAGTTCGAAAAGATCCACTTTGCAAAAAATTAAATAGCCAGATAATAACCAACTGATTCTGAGGAAAGGTTTTATTTCCTTTGCAAAAATAACTTCATAGTGTTTACACCTTTATTCTATAGTCCTTGGCTCTTCCAACCAACACAAATTGTTAAACTTAGTCACTTGTTTAAATTAGCAACATGTTTGATATTACTACATATATATTTTTGTTTACAATTTTTTTTGAGTACCTGACTTTGAGACACATTAGAAATAATGACCCATCTAAACATTTAAATTTTATTGAGTTCTATAAACGGGTTTATCTATAATTGACCTAGAAAACATGGGCGCATCCATTAACCTCTCACGTGACCGATCCACCATTACAACCGTGAAAAATAACACACGTGTATTGATCAAAACATTATCGATTTTCTGTTTACATTTGTATTTCCTTCATTTTCTTATTTATTTCACTATGGATACTGCAGAAAGTTATAAAAATAAACTGCTTCGCTGAGCGCAGCTGGATATGCCCGCAGAGGTCCAACCCTGAACAGTTGGGGCAAAAATGGACACAATATTCAAGCTTGATACAGGTCTGAATTTGGATTTTTACTAAATGTTTGATATATTACAGGTTTCTGAATAATGTAGTCAAAGAACTTGAAATTGGTTAAATGAAAGATTTCTTGCTGTTGTGCAATACACTGTGCTGTTGCACAATACTTAGTAAATCTGTTGTCAGACTATAGACAAATAAAATCTTATAACTCGGAAACATTAAATCGAAAATTTATAAAAATCAAAAGGGAGCTTACAAAAATAGATATAAACAATTACCAAAGTTTCATAAAAAATGCTGAAAGCATTTTTGAGTTATTGTCCGAAAACTGGAAAATCCCCCTTTTTGTAATGAAAAAACCCCATAAATCTGAAACGTATTGTCTAAAATTTATAAAAATCAAAAGGGAGCTTACAAAAATAGATATAAACAATTATCAAAGTTTCATAAAAAATGCTGAAAGCATTTTTGAGTTATTGTCCGAAAACTGGAAAATCCCCCTTTTTGTAATGAATAAAACCCCATAAATCTGAAACGTATTGTCTAAAATTTATAATAATCAAAAGGGAGCTCATGTCGATAGAAATAAACAATTCACCAAAGTTTCTTTCAAATTGGTGAAATTGTTTTTGAGTTATTGTCTGAAAACTGGAAAATCCCCCCTTTTTTTAATGAATTAAACCCCAAAACTTGGAAACGTTAAATCCAAAATTTATAAAAAAAACAAAAGGGAGCTCATGTCAATAGATATGAACAATTCACAAAAGTTTCATGCAAATTGGTGAAATTGTTTTTGAGTTATTGTCCGAAAACTGTAAAATCCCCCCTTTTTTAATGAATAAAACACTAAAAACTCGGAAATGGTAAATCTGAAATTTATAAAAAACGAAAGGGAGCTCACATCAATAGATATAAACAATTCACCAAAGTTTCATGAATATTGGTTAAAGCGTTTTTGAATTAATGTCCGACATGTTGACGACGGACGGACAGACGGTCAACGGTATACCATAATACGTCCCGTAAACAAATCAATAAATAAAATATGTGAACTATACAAGTTGTGCCGACTGCACACAATCCTTTTTATTAATAAAACTTTTTATGAAAGTAAAATTACACTGGCAGACGAATGTTGACACTTCGTCAAACGAAATTATCTATGAAAATTAATCTGATGACTACAGTGCATCTGCCTCTGTTTGTATAGAAGATCTACATATTAGATGGATCCAGGATTTTGAAAGGGGGCCACGGGTCCCCAAACAAGACACAATTTGTAGTGGAAGCGGTAAAAAGTCTGAATTAACCATGACTGAAGCTTCATAAGGGGGCCTGGGCACCCCCTAAATCCATTCCTGCACATTTCTTTAGATAATAATAATGAAACCTACCCTGAGGCTACATGCATGTAGTTATAATTGGATGCAAATCAAACAAGTATGAAGAGACGATTTTTTGTTTAATATGACGACTATCTTTAGGCTGCAAAATGGACAGAAGTTCCGACAACATTAACTCAGACAAACATATCGTTAACAGAGGAGTAAGGAGTTCAAAATTGAATAAAATCAGGAAACCACGTCATCGTATAAATAGACATATTATGAATGACAGTTACGCCTTATTGTATACTTGTCTTATGTAACTAAGTTTTCTGTACTTTAGTGGAATAAATACACAATTTACTTTTCAACTACGATATTGCAGATCAGCTGTTGCTCGATCGTACTGATTTAAAGGTTAACACTTAGTTTGATGTTTGGTTATTTGGGACGGCGCTTTCATATTTCGAAAAGTAAGGCTAGTAAACTATTTTATGCCTGGGTGCCAGTTCTTGCTGAAAAACTTAAAGGTTTTACAAACAGCTGCATCCATAGACAAATCACAGCAAAACTTACCATTAAGGGCACTTCTCTATAAACCTCGTCTTAATGGTCCATATATGAAGGAATGTGTGCTTAAAGTATATATTCACTTTAGTCGGATGGTCCAATATACATCCCTAATGTAATACTGTAATTCTGTATTTCACTGTATTATATATATCGGGGACTTATAAATGAGTCTAATACAGATTCAGGATGAAAATATATGAGACCTCTGTTTTGGGGTGGTGGGCAGGGGGAAATTGGCAAAAGACTAAATGACGCTTTTAAAACATAATTCTAATCATTGCTTTTAATTTACACGTTTGTATCTTTTGTGGTTAAATGACATTCATTTATTTTCAGCATGGGCCGGAGCATGCTGTTATACTATTCATACTAGTAGTTTCATGTCAAATAATTTTTCTACAAAAGAAATTGCAATCGAACACCTAATAACTATATGATAACATGGGCCGTGAAAGTTCAAAACTTCTTCGGCCCAATTAAATTGCAAAGTTAAGTCTACATATGGCCCGACGCACTGATAGCATATAGCGCAATTCATGAGGAGACAAAAGTGATACGAAAACGTCACTCAATTTTGAGCAGTATACGTGATTCGAACCACAAGCAAAAAAATCGTTTCTGTGAAAAAGTTTATCATCAAACGGTACATGTCTATAGGTATATTTTTTTTCAGAAGATGTAAGTAACTGCGCACCGGAGAAAACGGGCTGTCGAATATAGGACCGTCGGGTTAGAAGATTGTTGAATTTTAGGACTGCCTCATTATAGGTTTGCATGACCACAGAAATTTCTATGAGTTTGATAAAATTGCACCTGTTTTTTCTGATATATCACATTCGACCCGCAAGACAATTTATTTTTATTTATTTATGTGTTATGATAATCAATATTATGATTACCAAATGATTATAATCAAAATGTAACCTGGGAGTCGTATTCGCAAATATTATGTCCCGGTTCTAACGTATCAAATAAAATGAGTTATATTTTAAGGACACGACACCTGGCCTGCAATACACTTATTATTTTAATGTCCATTCCTTATCTAATTACTTTATTATTTATTTTGTAATTTTGCCGAGGTCAAGTACGCTTCACATTCTTGTGTTTACGTTAATTATATGCGGTCTGGGAAATGGATGTATATCTTGTTTACATTTTTTTCACGGTTGTAATGGCGATCGTACTACAATGCCACCTAGGAGTCGCGTCACAAACTAAGGCAGATAATTGGAAAAACCTGAGTATACTATGATATTAATTCAAACATTTTTGATAAAACATAAATATATTTCTAGTTCTTTTTTCCATTTGTTTATGCCAATGTTTAGAAATTTTTTGTGTTGAACAATATATTGATGTATCTTTTTATTGCTTATATTTTCAATTTCAATTTTTTCTTGGATTATATAATAAAGAATCTGTCGAAAATTAATTTTTGACTTGGCAGATTCTTTTGTAGCAAAAAGACTCCAACATGAAGGTGGTATTGCTTTTTTGACTATTGAAATTACTGATATCCAATTATTGGTATTTTGTTTTTAAATTGCTTTTCCTTTTTTTGTTGTTTCATGAATCAAAATACAATTTTTAATAATATCTAAGTAAAATTCTAGAATGTCTTTATAGCTATATCAAGTTATTTTAAGGTTTAGCTTTTCAGGTTTATTTTGAAAACGAGGAAATTTTCTACTAATTTATCTACAAAGAGCTTTGGAATCAAGTGTCCAATGATCCAATCATCTTATTTTGCTTACTTTGGAGAAGAGAAATAGTTTTTTTTATTTCAGTCATTATTTAGCCCTCCATGGCTATAATACATTACCAATGTATGTCAAATAACTTTATCTTTTTTACCATATAAAACTAAAAAATTCTCTTTCTAGTTCCAGTATATTCATTATAGAATGACCTAAATATATCAGTACAACATTAACCAATATGAAAGAACAGCACTGAATTACTGAAATAGCATTAATATATTATGATAGATTTCCTAAAATGAATCTAAACTCCAAATTTGAAAATGGTCACTCAAACAGAAAATACAGATCATGTACATGTAGAAACAATCAATGCTTGTAAGCACTGAAGGGTAAAGATTGCTTTAATTTATCAATGGGAAGTAAAATTTAACATTGCATTGTATAAAACATTAGTTGTAGTTGATTCAACTACAGTTATGGACAAAGGAATTTACTCCAATTCTAAAGATTACTTGAACAATGACATCATTGCTATTTTTAGAACAGATATTAGATTCCTGCACAAGTTATGTAATTTTCTTGACAAGTATAACATCATTTTGTAACTTGAATATCTGAGCATATATTTCATTAATAAATTTCTGGAAATGTTCATGGATATAGGATGTTTAGAATGTTATGATGAATGCACTATATTTTGTGTATCTCAAAAGTAGTGACAAATCTTGGAAGATTCAGATATCAAGTCAGTACTATAGGGTTTTGATTGCATTTTATGCAATCTTAACCCAAAAACTATGATTTAACAGAATTGTTTTGTAAAAGAGATACTTTACAAGTTAAGTGTATTTTTTCAAAACGTTTCTGAGAAATGGGCTTGAGTGCAATTATAAGTTAACCAAATTGCATCTTGTATGCATGAACATACAATAGTAAATTGTATCCACCTTAGATGCATGGGGCACTTGAATAAATGGATAAATATTTAATATATCTCAAAACAAATTATTGTACCTTCATTAACTGTGTTGGTGTCTGTCCAAAGTTATTAATCATTCCCTCTAAAGCTTTTCTGTCATGTTCATTTGTAATGGCATCTAGGTCTACAGCGCCTGTCAAATAGACATCATTAAGTTGTAGACATCATTTATAGTTACATACCGGTACAAGTTGTTATTTTTTTATAAAATTGAAAGGCATTATAGCCACTAGAAATTTTCTGATATTAGCCAGATTACAATTCTATGTTGCCACCTGGGTTTGTAGTACAGGGGTATATTTAGCCTAGAAAATTCTCTTTTAGCCTTGAGAATTGAAAGATCAGTTTATCCCATGCATACAATAGAAATTCATCTATTTGGCTTCATGCCATTTACCTTGTCAAAATATAGGACAAACCATTGTAATTCCAATACTAAACTTACTGAGTAAAAGTGTAAAAATTATTGACTCAAAATGTGTATTCATTACACTCAGGTACCTTTAGCTACAGCTAAATCTTGTTGATATAGAGTGAATAGTACATGGGAGAATGATAACTTATATAAAAGTCCAGTAGAATACTGGAAGCATATATAATTATACTCATGTCAAATACAAATCATAAACATCCACAAAAATAAGCTGATTTGAATAAGTATATATACAAGTAAAAATAACTAGTCCCAGCTGCTGTCCTTAGCTCCAAACGAACCTGTTATTTTCACTGTTGTCTTCTATTGTACTCTGAACTTCCAAGAAACCACCAATTTGCATCTAGTAAAAAATTATCTAGGAGGGAAACCTCCCACAATCCATTTAGACTGGAGTTCACACTAACTGACCACAGCTACACCCCTGGATTTCATTGCAACTCAGCTAATAATTAATTTCTAAAGGAGAAAATTTGAACAGCACGCTCTTTTCACAAAAAATCTTAAGAGTAAATATACTTGTAAGTCATACACATTTCAGTATAACTTATAAATTTTAATCGTAAGATTTTTTGTGAAAAGAGTCGCAGGGCTTTAGTGAAAAATAGCGAGCCACATTTACAAAATATTTCCGTCAAATGTACAGAACTAGACAATGGAGAAAAAAAGGAAACAGTAAAAATATAGAATCCCTATCTGTTTATGTACAGAATTAAAACAATTGAAAAAAGTGAAACAGTAAAATCTACTTTGGTATCCACAGAAACAGACAATATAGAATCAGGGATACAGTAAAACCTACCTTCATATGTACAGTAATAGAAAACATTTAAAGCTTCCGCAGCAGCTGGTCCTTTTTGTTTGTAACCAAATATCAGGTCAATCCAATTATGGAGGTTTTCTGAGACATACTCTGATTCCTACAAAAGTTTTTGATAATATTAAATCACAAAATATTGTACAAAAACAAGACTACAAAATGTTAAACTTCATTCTTTAATAAAAGTTTATCCTTTTTATTTGGAACAGTTTGGTAGTTTGTTAGTCTGGGCTAAATATAGATATATCAAGAATTCCATAGCAACACTTTTTATATTAGAAGCATAAATATGTTCATAGGCTCTAGAGAGTTTACTGTGTATGATTTAAATATAATTTCTTTTTCCAAGGAGCATAACTCCTTTAAAAATAGTTGATCAGCACTTATTTTCATTCTTCTGAGACATTGCTAATATAAACCTTTGAAAATCGAGAAAGAATTGAACACATTAGAGTGCTTGCAAGACTGAATGGGACACACAGACATTCCTGGTATTTCTATATCCCCTGCACTGCATTGTAGGAGGGGACAAAAAGGCAAAATCTATGGTTTTAATCATATTTGTACTAAATAAGAACCTACTTTCATTTGTTATAAGAACATTAACATAGAAAAAGTACAAGAATTCCCATTTTTAGAGTTATCTTAAAATGTCACAGTAACTTTCACTTAGTACACAGAATTAGTAAAAACTAGAACGGTTGTGTATAAGTTTTATAACAATTGGTTGAGACAAACTAAAGTTAGAGAACGGAAACGAAAAATTAAGCAATTTTTATGTTTATATAGGGACATAACTCAAGAATGGTAAAAGTGTTCTCACCAAATTCCGTACTTAATCTGTATTATGTAGTAATAAGCATTGTGTATAAGTTTCATAACATTTGGTTGAGGCAAACTAAAGTTAGAAAACGGAAACACAAAAATTGTACTTGATCTTAGTTTTGTGGTAATGAATATTGTGTATAGGTTTCATAATGTTTGGTTGGGGCAAACTTAAGTTACAGAATGGAAACTAAAAATTTTGCAATCTTTCGATTTATAAAGGGGCAAAACTCAATAATGGTTAAAGTGACACTACCCAAATTCAACTTGATCTGTGTTTTATCAGTGGAAGTCAAAATTAAACATTGCATTGTATAAAGCATTGATTGTAGTTGATTCAACTATAATCATGGACAAAGGAAGATAACTCCAATTTTAAAAATTACTTGATATTTAGAAGAAAATAAAAAATTTTGCAATTTTTCCATTTATAAAGGGGCATAACTCTAGAAAGGTGAAAGTGACGCCACCAAAATTCAAACTTGATCTGTGTTTTGTGGTAATAAGCATTGTGTATAAGTTTCATAACATTTGGTTGAGGCAAACTCAAGTTACAGAACGGAAACCAATTTTGGAACGTACGTACAGACGGAAAAGGGTAAAACTTAATGCCCCCACCACTACGGCGGGGGGATAAAAATAATAAGAAGGTCTTATTTTATTTGATATCCAAATAGCAAGATAAGTTGCAGTGATTACCATCCACTTAAGATTGATAACAAAAATCACAGCACACTATAAAGCTGGAAATGTTTGTAAATTAAAGTAAAACTGTTTTCTAATTACCTCTCATAGTTCCTTTCAATTGCAGCAAACATGTTTACTTTCAAACAAGGGAAATAACTTACATTCAGAATTGGGCTTTTGGAAGTGAGTTTCTAGAAAGTCCTATTAGGGTAGGTGTCCATAATTTACTAATCTGGAAACTGAATATTTGTTATCTATTAAGTTTTTGTTTGTGTTATAACGGTACATGTTTATAATTTACTGATAATTTCACATTAAGGGCAACTTACCAAAGCTAACATATTTTTATGTACAAAATCTTCTGGAGACTCAGCCCACTTTGGCAGTTTAACATCATTGACTTGTTCTCTTGTGATCTGAAGTTTACCAAGGTCAAATCCTATAAAGAAAATGTAATAAAATTACTTACAAAAAATGTTCACATAATATTTCAATTTTTAAGATACAATCCAAATACTGCAGTGTTACCCCTATGCTCCTTTTTTGCAATAGAGATAATGTCTGTTGACAAATTTAAATCAAGAACTAATTTATAACCCACGCATACCAAAGAACATTCACACAATGTTTGGTTCAAATATATTGGGTGGTTTCAGAAAAAATTATTGAAAAAGTATATTTTGAAAACTGTAGGAGGAGTTGATTATACAAAACTTGAACCCTCTTTCGTACATTTTGCTGAAAAATGACTAGGTTCCCAAGTCTGGAAAAATTCTTAAACTATTCCATAATAGCAGGTGCACAACTTCAACATAAGTGCAATCTTCCTGTGAAGTTTCAAGATCTGGGTACACACTTTTCCCGACAACATCACCTTACTGTAAGACTTTGTCCAACCCAGCCAAAAATTGGTAAAAGTTGTCATTAAATAGCAATAACTTCAATAAGGAGTGAACTGATGATTTTAGTCATGTTTGGCTTTTTGAAGATCTTATTTTGCTGATCATTTATGATATTCAAAGATTCTGTCTATCTATTATAATTTTCAAGATAATCAGCAATAAATTGCTTCGCCGAGCGCAGCTGGATACGACCACAGAGGTCCAACCCTGAACAGTTGGGGCAAAAATGGACGCAATATTCGCGCTTGATACAGGTCTGAATTAAATATTTGACACATAAAAGGTTTCTGACACAGAATAACTGTAGTCAAAAAACTTAGAATTGGTTATATGATTTGAATTTATATTCAACTTTTTGCTTTTGTGCAATACACTTTGCTGTTGCAAACTGACCCCTCCTCCCCCCACAAAAAAAATAAAAAATTTACCCCCCCCCCCCCCCTTTTGTGAAATACACTATGCTGTTGCGTATTAACACACACACACTTTTGAGGGAGGGTCGGAGGGGTCCTGATCCCGTAATCCCAGGCTTAAAAACATGAAATCCTGAGGTCCCGAATTTAAAGAAATTTAAATCCCGACATCCCGAAATTCGAAAAAAAATTCCAGGATCCCGAAAGGATCAATCCCCGAAATCCTCTTTTTAATTTCTGAAATCTGAAATGAGAAAAAATTGACCCCCCCACAATTTCTTTTTACCCCCCCCCCCCCTTTTTCCCCCAAAAAAATTCTTTTCCTCAAGATATGGTCATAATCTCAATTCAAATTTCCAATGGAGTTTGCAACCATAATCACCCATTTAAATTTACCATAGTGCTAACTTAATCTATTTTATAATAGAATTTAAAATATGGTGTCAAATCTTTCATATGGATTTTTTTTGTAAAAAATAAAGATGCAATATTTGCAGATATTTTTACTGGTCTTCCTTTATAAATATGCATTTCTTTAAACATAATTTAGAAGCAGTGTAAGAGAGGTAATCAAAACGTTGTATTTGGATTACATCCCTTACACTGCTTTTAAATTGTCTTAATTGTTCATTAACCATTACTTTATACATAATTTAAAAGCAGTGTAAGGGAGGTAATTCAAATGATGTATTTGAATTACCTCCCTTACACTGTAATTTGTACTTAAGTATTTGTCCATTAACCAAGACACCCTTGTTTTCCCCCTTTTTTGCCCCTAATTCCTAAACGGTTTGAGCCATAACCCCCCAAAGCAAATCCTAACCATCCTTTTGTGGTATGGAAACTTGTGGTATAATTTCAGAGAGATCCATACACCGTTCCACAAGTTGTGTCTGGAAACTAGAAAATTTTTTTTGCCCCTTTTTGGCCCCTAATTCCTTAACTGTTGGTACCATAACCCCCAAAATCAATCCCAACCTTCCTTTTGTGGTATTGAACCTTATGGTAAAATTTCATAGAGATCCATACACTAAAACTAAAGTTATTGTGCCAAAACCAATGTGTCTTCAGACGACGACAATGACGTCAAACCATTATTCGACCGAAAAAAATTTTTGCGGCCATATAAAAAATGACAAAAAAATGTCTGACATTTTTTATTTAAATTGACAGTAGGTAGATAGCATCATTTAGAATATTTTTGCCCTGTCAGATTTCTCTATTTATAGTGGTTTCCAAGATAATAGACAAAACTGTCATTATTCCCCTATGTTCTATTTTTAGCCATGTTGGTTGGCAGGCAGGGCCATCATACACATTCTGTAAACTAGATACCTTTATAATGATTTTGGCAAAGTTTAGCCCAGTAGCTTATCTGGAGCTGTAAGTAGGATTTTACAAAAAAGTGGATTTACTGCCATTTGATAGTCAGAACAGAAACCTGTATAGTAAATCCGAAAAAAATCATTCCTAATTTATAATCAACAAGAAACTTCCAGTTTATTTTATTTTCTCAAAATGGAAAGTAGCATGATTGATTCCTAGGAAATTTGCAATTTTAAGTCATTATAATAATTGCAGTTTTCCACAAATTATTCTTAAATGTTTTTTTTACAAAAACAGGTATCAGATTGCATGCAGTTTATAAAGCAAAACCAACGATAAAGGTTCTTTATATCATGACTTACTGTATGAATTTGACAGTTTGAAAAAAATGACCCTACAAATGACCAAAATCAAGTAAGAAAATTTTAGGATCCTTGATTTGCAATTTCTGTAGAGTGATTAACATTTTCAAAAATTCTACAACAGTTAAAAATTGTCATTTAAAGGAAAAAAGCTGCTATAGAAGGTCAATAAACGGTTTCATTAAAAAGACAATTTTGTAGATCTTGGAAATTGATCAATACTTACAATTTTTATCTATCTATTATAATTTTCTAAGTTAGGCCAGGGGAGCAGATAAAAGTCAGATGTTGATTCAAATGACTTTTTATTATCCAATAGAATTGGACATTACCAGTTTCTTCAGACAACATTTAAGTCATTATATACTCAATATGCATTTACCATTTTCATTGACTAGAAATTCAGGTAAGTAAAAGAACTCAGGAATCAGTTCCTTGACATCATTTGGGTTTTCCATCAGCATTTTCCATGTACCAGGCACTGAGTGGAACTGCCTATCTGTTACATCAAACCTGAAAATATGAAAATAATTGTAAATAATATCAGACATTCAAATATAAATTCAAGGAGATAAATTAACCTTACAATAAAAAGTCAAAAACTGAAGATGAGGTCAAGAACAGGTAAGATATGATTGGAATTTAATCACAAATTATAATGAAATGTGAATTATACATATTGTTTTGTCAAGACAATTACCATTTTTTGAAAAGTTGTATATGGAAAAAATTGTAAGTGATCTTACTATCTATCATTTTAGTAGATTTTTGAAAAATTCCAATATCAAAATGAGTAAAGTTCTGTAACTCCGGAATAACAAATTACAAATGAAAAGCCTCAAAATAGAAATGAAGTTCTCATTTTGCTATCCTGTGGCCTTTTACAGATTTTTATACAGTAAGGGTTTTGCTCATTGTTGAATGCCCTCTGGTGACTTGAAGTTGCTTATTAGTCTTTGGTGAAAAGTTCTCTCATTTGCAGTCCAATCACATATACTTATTTTTATATTATTCTTATTGGCCATAGAAACAACACATTTTGTAATTTGGCCAAAATAACCTTATTTTTTCTCTTTTTTTCAGTTATGGTTGCTCATTTTTAGATCTTGTTTAGTAGCAATTTTGTAGGTCTTGTAATGATGATCATTTTTACTGTTTTCAGTTTATACCTATCTTTTGAAGTTTTTGAGATAATAAAAAATTCATTTGATGGCAATTAATCCTATAACAAGTGTGACACTTCGGCCATGTTGACTTACTCGCAGATTATATTTTGTTGATCTTTTTTGCTTTTTCAAGTTTCCCTCCAACTCCTATAGTTTTGACAAATATGCAAATAGTGGATAAAAATCATCATTCAGGGTAAATAACTTCTATAAGGAGTTGGTTGACAGTGACAAACAAGATGACTGATTTGTAGATCTTATTCTGCTGAACAATTTTGTTTTTTTTTTTGCTATTTCTCACTATCTATTACAGTTTGTAAACTGAAATTGGAAAATTGAAAAAAAAATCATCTTTCAAGGGAAATAACTTCTAAAAGGAGTCAGTTGACTTATTCGTAGATCTTATTGTGCTTAACATCTTTTCTTTTTTTCAATTTCTCTGTATCTATAAAGATTGCTGCAAAAAATAAAAAACTAGATGTGTCGGAACGATACGAATGGCCCAGTCTCAAAAAGTTGAAAAATGTGCAATTTCAACAACACATGTGGACACAAACATGCATGGATAGTATCCAGCTCTCAAGACCAATACTAGTTCAAGTTGATGAAAAATTTCCTTGATCAATGAGTAGTTAAATTTCAAACTACCAGCAAACAGGAAGTGGATGTACTGCAGATCTAACAAGATGTGTTGAATCGACATGAAAATCAGCATAGCAGAACGAAACATAAACTTGATCTGTAACTCATCATGGTAGACTCACATGCAAAATCTGAAGGCGTATAGGAAAAAAGTTTGTATACTGTGATTTTCAACAATTTTCAAAGTCCATAACCTGTAATTTCAGCAAAAATCAGCAGAGAGTAACGAAACTTACACTCAATCTGTAACACATCATGGTTAACTCACATACCAAAAATCAGCCCAATATCTGAAGGCATTTAGAAAAAAAGTCCATATAACTGTGATTTTCAACAATTTATCAAAGTCCAAAGTCCTTAATTTCAGCAAAAATTAGCAGAGCAGAACAAAACTTAAACCTGATCTGTAACTCATCATGGTTAACTCACATACCAAAAAATCAGCCCAATATCTGAAGGCGTATAGAAAATAAATCTGTATAATTGTGATTTTCAACAATTTATCAAAGTCCAAAGCCTGTAATTTCAGCAGAAATTGGCAGAGCAGAACGAAACTTAAACTTGATCTGTAACTCATCATGGTTAACTCACATACCAAAAATCAGCCCAATATCTGAAGGCGTATAGAAAAAAAATCTGTATAACTGTGATTTTCAACAATTTATCAAAGTCCAAAGCCTGTAATTTCAGCAAAAGTTAGCAGAGCAGAACGAAACTTATACTTGATCTGTAACTCATCATGGTTAACTCACATACCAAAAATCAGCCCAATATCTGAAGAAATTTAGAAAAAAATTCGTATAACTGTGATTTTCAATAAATTATCAAAGTCCAAAGTCCTTAATTTCAGCAAAAATTAGCAGAGCAGAACGAAACTTAAACTTGATCTGTAACTCATCATGGTTAACTCACATACCAAAAATCAGCACAATATCTGAAGGCATTTAGATAAAAAAGTCCGTATAACTGTGATTTTCAACAATTTATCAAAGTCCAAAGTCCTTAATTTCAGCAAAAATTAGCAGAGCAGAACAAAACTTAAACCTGATCTGTAACTCATCATGGTTAACTCACATACCAAAAAATCAGCCCAATATCTGAAGGCTTATAGAAAATAAATCTGTATAATTGTGATTTTCAACAATTTATCAAAGTCCAAAGCCTGTAATTTCAGCAGAAATTAGCAGAGCGGAACGAAACTGAAACTTGATCTGTAACTCATCATGGTTAACTCACATACCAAAAATCAGCCCAATATCTGAAGGCGTATAGAAAAAAAAATCTGTATAACTGTGATTTTCAACAATTCATCAAAGTCCAAAGCCTGTAATTTCAGCAAAAGTTAGCAGAACGGAACGAAACTTAAACTTGATCTGTAACTCATCATGGTTAACTCACATACCAAAAATCAGCCCAATATCTGAAGGCATTTAGAAAAAAAGTCTGTATAATTGTGATTTTCAACAATTTATCAAAGTCCAAAGCCCGTAATTTTAGGCAAAAATTAGCAGAGCGGAACGAAACTTATACTTGATCTGTAACTCATCATGGTTAACTCACATACCAAAAATCAGCCCAATATCTGAAGAAATTTAGAAAAAAATTCGTATAACTGTGATTTTCAATAAATTATCAAAGTCCAAAGTCCTTAATTTCAGCAAAAATTAGCAGAGCAGAACGAAACTTAAACCTGATCTGTAACTCATCATGTTGAACTCACATACCAAAAATCAGCCCAATATCTGAAGGCATTTAGAAAAAAAGTCCGTATAACTGTGATTTTCAACAATTTATCAAAGTCCAAAGTCCTTAAATTCGGCAAAAATTAGCAGAGCGGAAAGAAACTTAAACTTGATCTGTAACTCATCATGGTTAACTCACATACCAAAAATCAGCACAATATCTGAAGGCATTTAGATAAAAAAGTCCGTATAACTGTGATTTTCAACAATTTATCAAAGTCCAAAGTCCTTAATTTCAGCAAAAATTAGCAGAGCAGAGCAGAACAAAACTTTAACTTGATCTGTAACTCGTCATGGTTAACTCACATACCAAAAATCAGCCCAATATCTGAAGGCGTTTAGAAAAAAATTGCGTATAATGGTTTGTTGCGGAATGACAGAATGACAGAATGAGGGAATGACAGAATGATGGAATGATGGAATGACGATTAAGGGTAAAACTATATGGCCCCGACAACTTCTTTCAAAGGCAATAACTCCTTAAGCTGCCAATTGACAAATTAAGGTTAAGGTGACTTCTTTTGTAGAACTAATTCGTCTGAAAACTTTTGCTTTCACAATTTCTCTCTATCTATTAATAGTATCTGCAAAAAATTAATAAAATAAGCATTTCATATAAGGGTTAATTGATAATTCATCCATATTAACATCTTTGAATATATATAATAACTGCTGAACACTTTTGCATGTTACAATTTATCTATATCTATTATAGTTTTTACAAAAAAGTCAGTAAAATTAGTCATCGAGGGCAATAATTCCTTTAAGGGGTCAATGACAATTCATCCATGTTGACTTGTTTAGATCTTATCATTCTGGTCATTCTTACTGTTTAAAAATTCTTATAATCTGATATAGTCTTCAAGATCATAACCAAAACCTGTGAAACTTGCAAAAAATTTACATTTCAGGGGCAATAACTCAAAAATGGGAAGTTTGTTTTTCTGAAAATTTTCCAGCAGATAGACCTTCACCTGCTAGTGTTTATTTAAATTTATATTTTCTAAAATTTTTCAATTATGAGATTTCTGATTTTCTGTCCAGCAATTAAATGTACCACAGTAAGTTAACTCATATAATAATAAGAAGATGGAGTAATAAAGAAACCACAGTAAGTTAACTCATATAATAATAAGAAGATGGAGTAATAATGAAACAACTATTCATACTGACTAAATGAAAAAGATGTGAACATTTAGATGTCTACATACAGCCTTTCACAATGTACCATATAGTAAGCTATAAAAACCCAGAGGATTATTTTATTCAATAAATGAAAAGTGCCAAGGAAGAAAAATCAAGGCATTTTAACTATTCTTATTCTGATGTCTGCATTTTTACATCTTTCCTTGTCACATTTTTGATTTTCACCTGTTTCATTTCTGTTAACCATAAACTGCAAAAATGGACATTAGGAATGAGAATAGTTAAAATGGGGCATTTGTCTGTTTCAAATCGAAATAAATACAGAATATATGATATGCTTTCATGTAAGAAAAACCCTGTTTTAATGGGTCTTGACCTGCGTTGCTGCATGCAACAGATTGAGGTGCGTTGCTGCATGCAACAGATTGAGGTGCGTTGCTGCATGCAACAGATTGAGGTAACATGTATACTGGAGCATAACTGATCATTCCCTTACACTGAAGCCAAGAAAACTTTTGACGAAAATTTTCGTTGTACAATGAGTGTTTAAAATTTCAAACTAAGGCAAACAGAAAGTGGCTGCATGGCAGATAAAAAAATTGCTTACTCATTACAACTCAACGTTATCAAACTGCAGACCCAATATTAAAGCATTCCCTGCCAGAGGAGCAAAGAAAATTTGATACAAATGCAAATTGAGGTGACACATCCTGAATTTCACCAGTCAATTACTGTTTTTTTTCTGTTTTGCATTGGTGAAAAAGCTGTATCAATAATTGCAGGTGAAGTCTACAATACTGCAAATGCTGATTTGATCATACTTTTTTATAACATATGAGATATCAGAAGTTAACATCAGCTGCAGATCAAGGATTTGTAAAATGTTTATGCATTAAACCATATATGTAGCTTCAGAAAGGGGCCAGCCACCTCCTTAATCCACCTTTGAATATAATACTAACCTATCAAATGGGACAAAAATTTTCCTTTGAGATAACATAAACTTTGAGATAAAAGAGCTTGATATAACAAAAGTCAACTGTGTTTTGTTGCCATGTGGTTTAACATGTAAAATATCTGTGAACATAGATTATTATGTAAATTACCTGTCACCCTGTAGTTCAATATGTAGAGCAGTAAAAGGCTCCATTCTGATAAGATAGTGCATGACACCTGCTGCATTAGAGTAATGTGTACCATAATGGAACTTCTCTATCACTCCTGAGGGATCTTCAAATGTTTCAAATCTGAAAATAAAATCTAATTTCAAGATTTTTTCCTGAATATAGCCTGACATCCTGGCCCAACCTGGCATAATACAATCAACCTGATCACTTTTCAGCACTGATCAGGTCTGAGTTATTGCAAATGTGCATGTTATATTAAAAAAGGAATGTATCGATCTGATTTTAAATTAGCTGTTGATTCATGATTTATAACATTACGGTTTGAATTATTATTGCTACATTTTTTTAATAAAAATTGTGCATTTAGCATAAATTTTAAAATAGTTTTCAACAATTTGTGGTTAAGAAAATATGTTTTTCGCCAATGTCATCATTCTAACATCTATTAACAAATACATGTCATTGAATTCCGCCAGGCTCTACTGTCAAGCAGTGATCCAAGATCCCATGCTATCCTGAGTACTCTTTACCTGTTATTACATATAGGATATAAAAAAACTCAAAAAGTTTGATGGACCCTTAAATTTTATGAAAGAAATACAAAATGGTTTCTCTTTCTTTTCGCATTCCCTCCCAAAGATGTCAACACACCTGATAAGGTAAATGATATGGCAAAAGGTTTTTCTATTTAATTTCAAAATGATAAGCCTAACTAAACAAGGCAAATTTCTTATTTACCTATTGGGAATTTTCCAAAATAAGTCTTTTTAGTTGGAAAATGCATGATGTTTTCAATCTATATTTTTTTTGGTATAGTTCCAATCTCACTGTTGTACTTTCCTAGACAGAAGTCAAGATTTACTAAATTAGAATGACAAGAAAGGAAATAAAAAAAAGAATTGTGACCAATACATTATTATGTTTACTGCCATCTGCTCATAATTAGATATGGTACAAGGAAACTTTTTACAAATAGCATAAAGATATCAAGAAAATTATCTATTCATCTTTCATTGCCTATTTAAAGTACTAATTACACAATAAAAGAGAATTCATGAGTCACATTTTAAAACATAGCACTGTGGCTTTAAATTTTGGCTATAATTTTGTAAAATTACATTGATTTGGTAAAAAAACCTATAAATCTCTAATTGCCATGCCATGATAAAATATAGTTTCTAAGTCACAAGAACAAATCACATACTTTTCTCTGAGTATTTCTCCATTTTTAGGATTAACAGCACCAATTGGTTTGGACAGATCTCTGTATACAGTACAACTGTTGAGATTTAATGAGTCAGACTCATAATCACTTATTATCCATGGAAACTAGAATATTAAAACAATTATTATTCACATAAAACATATCTAAGAAACATTAGAAGTTTACAATGTCCACTGTGTTTTCCTATTTTTTTTAAGTCTCTTGTGTTAACTGGTGTAAACTAGAAATGTGAGTGAACTTACAAAAGGATACCCCTCTGCCCCGTGATACTATTAGTATATCATAATTTACACAATACAAATGCAGTAAACCTTCTGATTTATTACAAACAAAATCAGACTTTCTCTTTTGATATAAATGTATTGCATTGTTGGGTAGTTGGCTCATTGATTTTTACCACTCAATTCCTTATATTCATTTTTAATTAAAAGGGTAGATAACTCTTTAAGTTTTTCTTATAGATTGAACTTAACATATATATGTTGATATGTACCAAGAATAAAAAAGTACATTTCCCCTTATTTTCTAAATGTTTTTAATTAAAGCTATAATTTCCTTATTCTATGTTGGTATTCTATCATTTAGTTTTCTTTCTAGACTAGTGTAATATTCCCTGAATAAACCTATTAAAAACAGACCGGGTAACACACTTTACATTTGATTTTTTTTTAAATAGCAAGATTTGAAATACATTTTCGGGAAGTATAAAACAAATTCATCATTGTTTGCTTATACTGTCATACTACCTTCATTCCAAATGATTGATTCAGTTTATAAATATAAATAACTTAATGGTTACAAATTTGCCTTGCAATTTCAGAGAAGCTGAAGAAAAAGTCAAAAGCTAACAGAAAACGTATGATATAGGATATTTGATATATGATGTTATTAGTGATATGGTAATAGCTCATACAAACCCTTTGTGCCATATAAACATAAAACTGTGGGTAAAGCTTGTGTGACCACTTTGGGTATTTGCAATAACTGTGTGAAGTATAACTTAGATCTAAGAATACATGCACATGACCTCATTATATTTGACAACAATATATTTACTTGCAAATTTAAAACATTGGATTTGGATCCAAGCAGGTAGAAAGATAAAATCAGTATTAAATTCATATATTAATGGACTGGGCTTCAGAATATATTTCTGCACTGGGTGTCAGGATAGATTATTTGACTGGGTATCAGGATAGCTTATTGGACAGATGCCAGAATAGATTATTGGACTGGGTGTCAGGATAGATTATTGGTCTGGGTGTCGGGATAGATTTATATTGGACTGGTTGTCAGGATAGATTATTGGACTGGGTGTCAGGATAGATTATTGGACTAGGTGTCAGGATAGATTATTGGACAGGTGCCAGGATAGATTATTGGACTGGGTGTCAGGATAAATTATTGGACTGGGTGATAGATTGTTGTACTGGTGTCAGGATAAATTATTGGACTGGGTGTCAGGATAGATTATTGGACTGGGTGATAGATTATTGCACTAGTGTCAGGATAGATTACTAGACTGGGTGTCAGGATAGATTATTGGACAGGTGCCAAGATAGATTACTAGACTGGGTGTCAAGATAGATTATCGGACTGGATTTCAGGATAGATTATTGGACTGGGTATCAGGATTGATTATTGGACTGGGTGTCAGGATACATTATTGGACTGGGTGTCAAGATAGATTATTGGACTGGATTTCAGGATAGATTATTGGACTGGGTGTCAGGATAGATTATTGGACTGGATTTCAGGATAGATTATTGGACTGGGTGTCAGGATTGATTATTAGAGTGGGTGTCAGGATAGATTATTGGACTGAGTATTGGGATAGATTATTGGACTGGGTGTCGGGATAGATTATTGGACTGGGTGTCGGGATAGATTATGGGACTGGGTGTCGGATAGATTATTAGACAGGTGCCAGGATATATTATTGGACTTGGTGTCAGGATAGATAATTGGACTGGATAGATTATTGGACTAGGTGTTGGGATAGATTATTGGACTGGGTGTCGGGATAGATTATTGGACTGGGTGTCAGGATAGATTATTGGACTGAGTGTCAGGAAAGATTATTGGTTTGGGTATTGGGATAGATTTATATTTGACTGTATTGGACTTGGTGTCAGGATAGGTTATTAGACTGAGTGTCAGGAAAGATTATTGGACTGGGTGTCAGTGCAGATTATTGGACTGGGTGTCAGGATAGATTATTGGACTGGGTGTCATGACAGATAATTGGACTGGGTGTCGGGACAGATTATTGGACTGAGTTTCAGGACAGATTATTGGACTAGGTGTCGGGACAGATTATTGGACTGGGTGTCGGGACAGATTATTGGACTGGGTGTCAGGACAGATTATTGGACTGGGGATGGGGACAGATTATTGGACTGGGTGTCAGGATACATTATTGAACTGGGTGTGAGGATATATTATTGGACTGGGTGCCAAGATAGATTATTGGACAGGTGCCAGGATAGATTATTGGACTTGGTGTTGGATTTGGTGTCAGGATAGATTATTGGATTGGGTGCCAAGATAGATTATTGGACTGGGTGTCAAGATAGATTATTGGACTGGATTTCAGGATAGATTATTGGACTGGGTGTCAGGATTGATTATTGGACTGGGTGTCAGGATAGATTATTGGACTGAGTGTCGGGATAGATTATTCAGGACTGGGTGTCGGGATAGATTATTGGACTGGGTGTCGTGATAGATTATTGGACTGGGTGTCGGATAGATTATTAGACAGGTGCCAGGATAGGTTATTGGACTGAGTGTCAGGATAGATTATTGGACTTGGTGTTAGGGGGATTATTGGACTGGGTGTCAGTGCAGATTATTGGACTGGGTGTCGGGATAGATTATTGGACTGGGTGTCATGACAGATAATTGGACTGGGTGTGGGGACAGATTATTGGACTGAGTTTCAGGACAGATTATTGGACTAGGTGTCCGGACAGATTATTGGACTGGGTGTCGGGACAGATTATTGGACTGGGGATCGGGACAGATTATTGGACTGGGTGTCAGGATACATTATTGGACTGGGTGTCAGGATATATTATTGGACTGGGTGTCAAGATAGATTATTGGACAGGTGCCAGGATAGATTATTGGACTTGGTGTTGGACTTGGTGTCAGGATAGATTATTGGATTGGGTGCCAAGATAGATTATTGGACTGGGTGTCAAGATAGATTATTGGACTGGATTTCAGGATAGATTATTGGACTGGGTGTCAGGATAGATTATTGGACTGAGTGTCGGGATAGATTATTCAGGACTGGGTGTCGGGATAGATTATTGGACTGGGTGTCGGGATAGATTATTGGACTGGGTGTCGGATAGATTATTAGACAGGTGCCAGGATAGATTATTGGACTGGGTGTCAGGATAGATTATTGGACTGGGTGTAAGGATAGATTATTGGACTGGGTGTCAGGAAAGATTATTGGTCTGGGTATAGGGATAGATTTATATTTGACTGTATTGGACTGGGTGTCAGGATTGATTATTGGTCTGAGTGTCAGGATAGATTATTGGACTTGGTGTCAGGAAAGATTATTGGACTGGGTGTTAGGATAGATTATCAGACTAGGTGTCGGGATAGATTATTGGACTGGATGTCATGACAGATAATTGGACTGGGTGTCGGGACAGATTATTGGACTGGGTGTCAGGACAGATTATTGGACTGGGGATTGGGACAGATTATTGGACTGGGTTTCAGGATACATTATTGGACTGGGTGTCAGGATACATTATTGGACTGAGTGTCAGGATAGCTTATTGGACTGGGTGTCGGAATAGAATTTTGGACAGGTGTGAGGATTGAGATTTTAATGTTTCTACTTGTGTCAAGTTACTAACAAACAACAAGTATAGTGTTTTACTTACCACAGGATACTGACTAAGATCATTGTAAGTTCTGCCTGCTATTGTGTTTAATTGCATCAGATATTCAAAGTTTGTTATCTCTCTATGTACCCATTTCTGAAATGAAAGACATTATTTTTTTACACAACAGAAAGTAAAGATCTGATTACGTTCATAATATTTTACACGAATAAATTTAAAAGTTAATAATATATGGTGTCAAAGGGAAGCTATCAGTGGAAATGTAGCTCTTTTTGATCCAAGGATCATAATGGCTCTGATTCATCTTCTAGAGGGAAGCAAACACATACAGTACAACATCTGTGTAAAGTGTAAAAAAATAAGCGTTTAAATTCTTAAAAGAAATCTAAATAGAAAAGTGTTGCCAAAGTTACCAATTTTTGCCCTTATGTTAGGTGCAAATATAGGTAGGTGTGAGTATACAAACAAAACATATAAAATGGCATAGACACATATCTATTATTGAAGGTATACGTTGACCTCAAAATTTCATTTTTGTTTTATTGTGTTGTTGGGTAAAGTTATTAAGCAGTTTTAATACAAATTGATAGCTGCCCCGTAGTGAAACATCCCTCAACACTGTGTAAATGAGGAATAAAATTGTGTGTACAGTATAGACTTGTACAACAGGAACATAGATTACATCAAAATATGTTGTATTTTGAGTTTATTTTGACTTTTTGTATTTGTTGTTGTTATTTTTGTCATCAAGTTAAATGTGGTGTAATGTCACCGGCGCTCCATAGGTACTTTTTTGGAATTATCGCCCTTTGTTTTGGAATCCATTCCATGTCAGACATAAACTGAAATCAAAATCTTGAGCCAACCACGGCGTAAGTTGAACTCTTTGTATATATCTGAACATTTACTTTAGTGTTATATATCAGCACAGAGGATGTGACTTTGTTTGTTTACCTGTTTTTATGTTTTCTAGGCATATCTACAAAGGATATGTGCGTTGACCCACAACACAAAGAACATTTATTAGAACTCTTACAAACTACACAAACATATGTTTTCATAGTATTTTTCAGAATTGTAAAAGTGATTATCTTTGTATTTTCAGTTTTTTACCATCATCCTGTAGATGTATTAAAGTTTGAATAATCTACTTGGTTACCTGTTACGCAAAATTTATGCTTGAGGCATAACATGTGGTGTTTCTGCGAATAAGTGTAAAATTTTTTATTATATGTAATGAAGGAACCAACAACAAATATGGAGACAAAATTGGGAAAGTATCTAAATAAGTCATGTGAAAGGTAAGGTAGGCACTTTTGAATTACAAAATCATTTAAATGTCAAATTTAGGCTTTCAATCTATTGCTTGTAAAATATTGTCAATCTTTATTAGAAATATACATTGATTTCAATTTTGAATTAAAACCTGAAATATACAATAAATTATAAATTAAATTACAAGGTCTGGTCATTAAGTCAATGGGAGGTTATATGATATCATACTTCCTCCTTTGATACAAAATAAAGATTGGACTGGGTTACCACAATTTAAATATGAATCTGCATGAAAACACATAATAGCTTAAAATATTTGACTGAGTATTTGACGCTTTAAATATTGAAGAAAAGTGACATTTCAAAAGGGATGAGATATAAATTTGACAATTTTATATCAATTAAAAAATACTACCTCTCTTTCCATCTGACTTTAAAGTTGATGCATATAAAGAAATTCAGCAATATTTTTTGTGATATAAGACAGTTCAAGACCCTATTGGATAGTATAGTAGAGTCCCCTGTACCTGTGCGGCCTGTGAAACTGCACACATGGCAATTCAGTACTTTCTATTGTGCAAACAATCCAATAGAAATAAAAATTATTTTCTTCTCATAAATATATGATATTATTCCGCCTTTGACAAAAATAAATGATTTTTAAATTTTCATATTAGTTTTAGATCCATTTTCTATGAAAACAAAAATTACTAGACTTTGAGTATGTTAAAGCCATTATTTATGAATTTGAAATTTAGGTGCGCAAATGCATGGGACACTAAACCATTCCATAATAAAATGCTCCGCTGGGCGCAGCTTGATAGGACCGCAGAGGTGGAACCCTGAACAGTTGGGGCAAGTATGGACACAACATTCAAGCTTGATACAGCACTGAATTTGGATTGTGATTAAATATTTGACACAGCATAGGTTTCTGACACAGAATGAATGTGGTCTAAGAACTAAAAAAAAAAAAATTTACCTATTCAAACCAAGGATCCGGAAATTTTTCCACACAATTTCGGTCATTTTGAGATGATAGAAAAGTTGGTGCCCCTTTCCAAATTGTCGATGTCAACTTGACTAAATTCATAGCATCAACGAACTTGTATTGCTGTTTCATCGCATTTACTAAGTAAATGTCTTGCCATTACCATGAAGAACAGTTTAGGGAAGGCAATAGTTTAAAATTGAAATGATTTTAATGACTCAAAATGGTAAATCTCTCAGACATTGCTTACGTTTCTTTCGATTCGACAAAAGTTAAAACCGGAAGTTTGCGATAAAGTTAAAGTACGAATAATTCCGGATTCATTTCGGGGATTTGTTTTGTTTATCAAATTGACAGGAAATCACCGGCTTTTTATGGCTTTTTTTATTTTATTACCTTTAAAAGTGTTTGAATGTAACAGACAATAGTTGCACTCGTTTAATTTAGCATGAAATCAATTTGCATTTTACGATTAAACATTAAATTTGCTGAAGACAATTTCACGCATGCGTATTATATAGTAAATAAAGCACATGAAAAAATACTTTTTTCTCCGTAAATTTAGGTTTTATTTTTAAATCAGATTTGATGATTGTCTTTGCTGAAAAGTAATTAAATAATGAATACACTTGTCAGGGAATTTTTGTTAAGATATTATTCTGAGCTTGTGATCACTGTCAGGTGTGAATTAAAACCACAGGTAAAAAGTGATTAGCGATCATTAGCCAATGTTTCCCGGAGGCATTGATATAGATATTAGGAGGGCCCTCAGGATTATCAAACTACCGGAGTGGCAGTTTTATTACAGGAAAGGAATTATAAACAAAAACAAGTGATCACAACTTACACAAGACAGTGCAAAATGGCGATTAAGAAATCCGATTTCAATCATTGAGTCAATGAAATGACCGAAATTACTTCATTAAAAAAATAAAATTTGTCCTAAATCCCTATTACTCGTTTAGGACAAATAGTTTCATCTTAGGACATGACTGGCATATATGACCGTTTCCGGACCCATGATTCAAACCATATCATTATTATGAGCTTTTATATATAAATCATAAATAACCAATTTAAAATGGAAAATTTTAAAGAAAAAAAAAATGAAAAAAATGAAAAAAAAATCCCCCCCCCCCCCAATTTTTTTTAACCCCCTTATGATTCATCCCCCCCAAACTCAATAACAGCCTTCCCTTTGTGGTATGGTACCTTGCAGTACAATTTCAGAGAGATCCATACACTTGAACACAAGTTATTGTATGGAAACTAGAAAAATGCTTGTTTTTTGGCCCCAAATTCCTAAACGTTTAGGGCAATTACCCCCAAACTCAAACCCAGCTTTCCCTTTGTGATATGGAACCTTATAGTACAATTTCATAAAGATCCATACACTGACACACAAGTTATTGTCCTGAAACTAGAAAAATGCTTGTTTTTTGCCCCTTTTTGGCCCCTAATTCCTAAAATTTTGAGGCAATTACCCCCAAAATCAATCCCAGCCTTCCCTTTGTAATATGGTACCTTGCAGTACAATTTCAGAGAGATCCATACACTTGAACACAAGTTATTATCTGGAAACTAGAAAAATGCTTATTTTTGGCCCCTTATTCCTAAAAGTTTTGGGCAATTATCCCCAAACTCAATTCCAGCTTTCCCTTTGTGATATGGAACCTTGTAGTACAATTTCAGAAAGATCCATACAATTACACACAAGTTATTATCATGAAACTAGAAAAATGCTTGTTTTTTGCACCTTTTTTGGCCCCTAATTCCTAAAATTTGAGGCAATTACCCCCAAAATCAATTCCAGCATTCCCTTTGTGATATGGAACCTTGTGGTACAATGTCAGAGAGATCCATACACTAACACACAAGTTATGTCTGGAAGTTACAAAAATGCTTATTTTTGGCCCCTTTTTGGCCCCTAATTCCTTAACTGTTGGTAACATAACCCCCAAAATCAATCCCAACCTTCCTTTTGTGGTATTGAACTTTATGGTAAAATTTCATAGAGATCCATTCACTTCAACTAAAGTTAGAGAGCGAAAACCAATGTGTCTTCAGACGATGATGATGACGACGACATTGTCATACCAATATAAGACCGCAAGAGGTCGTATAAAAGGGGGTAGGTCACTTTTATCGCAAATTTCAACAAAATGAGCCAAAAAAAAAAAAAAAAAATAAAAAAATAAAACATTCAGAATCTCTTTTAAAAAGTAAATATTCCATTTCAATAAATGTATAACTTTTTTTCATCAATTTTTAATTTTGACCTCTTTTTCTAAGAGTAAAGGCTTAGGTAAAACAGGACAGCTCTGTACATGTTGTTTAACAGTCCTTTAGTTAATTATCTTTAATTAAAAACAGGGATGACCAAACTATGACTTTGCTGGAGAAACTCTTTTACAGCTCTTTATTATTACATTGATTGAGATTAAAAGGACTAAAATGTGACGGGGAAAGAACTAGTTAAGCCTGCTACAAATTTATATACCTGTTCCATACCAGAATCCAAGTCAATGGTTGTATTTTGTTTGTCTTAATGTTTTTGTTAATTGTGGAATCTGGTATTGATAACAGATCTTTGTTAGTCTCAGTGAAATTTACAACTTTTCAAGTCAATGGGTGATTCAGAGCTTGACATTGCATATATATATATATATATACATTTGTTTGTTTACCTCTAGGTGTGGAGTCAGGTCGGTTTATTTTTCTTGTTATTAGCTAGGTTGCTGTCTAATTGTATATACACATATCATTTTATACATATTTAAAAATTCAAAAATTAACTGAAGGAAAAAACCTAATATTTCAAGTCTCAGCACACCAAAATTTAACATTTACATAGTAGTAAGTTTACATAGTACATTGAACAGTGAAGCTGGAAAGCTGGTCAAACAGGCCTGGATAGTATTGTATCTATCATCAAAGAATTCTGGTTTTTAAGGTAAGGGAAAATTAAATCTTAAGATTTAAGAAATGATCTTTAATGATAAATCTTAGTTTGAATTAAAGCCAAAGGAGCATTTTAACAGATCAAATTGACCCCTTTCATTTATATCTTAACCTATTCCCTTGAGCAAACCTACATGCTAACTTAGATGAACCATCAGCTTAAAGTACCCAAATTATGAACTTTGAAATAAATTTATACCAAAATCTTAAAGCATGAAATGTTAAAACAACATTAATTTTTCTTCATATTATCCTATAAAAATTCCACAATTGACAAAAACATTAGGATAAAACAAAATACAACTACTGATTAGGATTTTGACGTGGCAAAACTTGTAGCAGGGTTAAACTAGTTCTACCCTAGTTATAGACGGACAAGGATGTGGCAAAAACTTGTAGCAGGGTTAAACTAGTTCTACCCTAGTTATAGACGGACAAGCTTTATGCAATATAGCACCCACTTGTAGAATGGGGGTATAATAAAAACAAATCAAAACAGTTCTATAAATCATGTTCACCAATTGTTTTGAAATGGCAGATATTGCTAATACTGTACTATTCTAAAATGTTTACCTGAGAAAGTCCTGATGACTTCAGTAATTCTGCTGGGGATCTTGAGCCAAAGTAAATCAAGTTTGGTGGTCGCAAACTTAAAATACGACTGTAAACTTTGTTCCTCACCTGTAAACCATTTAAGAATATATATATACTGACTTCATGATTTTGACAACTACATCATAAAACAAACTAGTATGTTAAATTCACTGAATCAATTACTTATCAATGCAACTAATATTGTGAAATAAAAATGTTTGTTAAAAATTTTATTTAAATCTTTTTTTTTTATATACAAATGAAATCAAATTTTATCTATCTCCAATTTCTGAAATTAATTATAACTATAGTGAGGATTAATTAAAAAAAGCAATGAAAAGATTATGTTTAGTTCCATGTAACTATTTTTAAAGAGGTTCTGGCTTCCGGCAGGACATTTTTTTTATCCCGTTTTAAGCTCTTTTGCTTTCCTACCTAAAGGCATTCTGGCCAATCAAGGAAACCATGAAAGGCAATCAATGGGTAAAGGATTTGGCAACAACGCCTAAAAATGTGCTCCGCCTGGAGCAGCTGGTTACGACCGCAGAAGTCGAACTCTGAACAGTTGGGGCAAGTATGGACACAGCTTGATACAGCTCTGAATTTGGATAGTGATTAAATATTTGACACAGAATAAATGTGGTCAGATAACTTAAAAATTTGAAATGGGACATTTAATCTACTTAATGGTCCAATATCCAAAATCTAATTCCATGGTTAGATTCAGCATATAAAAAAAACCCATGAATTCAAACAAAGTTTAATTTTGGACCCTTTGGACTGAAAACAGGGCCCAAAATTAAAAATCTGAATGCACAGTTAGATTCAGCATATCATAGAACCACAAGAATTCAGTTTTTGATGAAATCAAACAGTCTAATTTTGGACCCTTTGGACCTCAATGTAGACCTATTTAAAAATGTCCAAATATCCAATATAGTAATACATGGTAAAAACCTCAAACAATTCAAGACTTTAAATTAATCTTCATTGAAATTGGTTAAAAGATTTGTATTTATTTTCAATTGAAGATTTCTTGCTGTTGTGCAATACTTTGCTGTTGCCCAATACTTAGTAAATCTGTTACAAACTAAATATAATAATTTACACACCTGTTTGGTGTGTATCTCCTGCCATATCAGTATTTGTTGTTTCTTTATATAGATCAGAAATAATTTATGTTAGAACCAGCTTAGCCAGTATTAGAAAAGTCTTGTTTTTGGCCCCTATTTGGCCTCTATTTTCTTAACGATTAAAGCCACAACCCACAAAATCTACCCCAACCTTCTGTGTGTAGTATGAAACTTTGTGGTACAATTTCATAGAGATCCATTGACTAATACTTTTGCCCCTTATTCCTGAACGGTTTGAGCCATAACCCCCAAAGTTCAACCCAACCTTCCCTTCCCTTTGTGGTATGGAACCTTGTGTTTCAATTTCAAAGAGATCCATAGACTAATACTTAAGTAATTGTCCATTAACCAGAAAAACCTTGTTTCCCCCCCCCCCCCCCCCCTTTTTTTTTGCCCCTTATTCCTTTTGTGCTATTGAACCTTGTGGTTAAATTTCATAGAGATCCATTCACATATACTAAAGTTATTGTCCAGAAACCAAATGTCTTCGGATGACGATGATGACGACATGATAGTAATACACGAATGCAAATTTTTATATAAAAATAGTCACTTCATATTCATATGTTCGTTCTGTTTTACCAACAGTAATCATATATTTATATGGGTTCAGTTTACTAATAGTGATAGCTTTGAGGTGCAGTTTATTAAGGGACTGATGTGGGAGCTGTGCTATCTCTGTATTAATGCAAAAATATTCTGAAGAGAATGTTAACTTGACAACAATAAAGCTCAGAACCAAGACAGAATATGTAAATCTATCTAATGTGAAAGGAATGAAACTTTTCCCCAGAATCAGTTGGTGTTTATCTAGCAATTTAAATTTTTGCCAGTTGAGCTGTTCCACTGAATAACTACAATAGCTATTGTTCTCTATGGAGTTTAATCAATTGAACCTTTAGAAATCATTTGCTGATAAATTAAGCTGACTTTTTTTTAACTCCTGGTGATGAAAATGCATGTACCAATACTGAATAATGACACATATTGTCAGAGCAGAAGGTAATATTTAAAAAAAATAATGTATATACACTACTGAAAAAAAAAAATTTCATTGGTGTACATAGTACATTGTATATACATGTGGATGTATAATTTTTTGTTCATATTGTTTTCCTATTAACCCCATACCTTGATTGTTTAGATTTTGTCAATCTTTCTGCGATTTTATAATAGCAGGGAGAGTTTCAACAAATTGATTACATTACACGAATACAGAAAAATTTTGAGATTCTATCAACTTATTATACCATAATTAGGGACTCTGTGGGATTTTTTTTAATGAAAAATATACACAAAAAGCATTTATTATTTGAAATATATATGTGGTAGAAATATACTAGGACAAGAGTTTTCATTTTTATGTTTGACCTTTGACCCCAAGCATCTACCTGTTATTCATGAATATATACTTTTTGTCTGCCAACATTCCAATTTACAATAAAACACACTTAAAAACTTAGTAATATAACTACCGCAGCACACGTCATACACAAAATGAGCAGAAAGGATGCAAAAACTAACTATTTTTTATAGCGTATGACCATTGTACGTGAAAATCTTATTTCGCACAGGAAAATACGGGAAACTGTACTAGTTAGCACAAAACATTAAAATACGAAATTTTCAAATGTTTTGAATTTTTAATTTCCATGTATTTTTTTGGCCATATGATTTACACAAATAGCAGTTTCTTGTTTTAGAAGTGCAGCAAGTGTTTAATAACATTGTTGGATGCACAAGTCAGTTTGTTTAAGGTCCAGGGTAAGAACTGACTCCCCCCCCCCCCACCTATTTCTACCATTTTTTATTATGATAAAATCAAAGAAAATTAGTTTCAATCCACCTTTCCATGTGAAACTCTCTACATCAACCTTAAAGATTTCCAGATTTCAAACAGTAATAATAAATTAAGCATACAAAATCATAACTTGAAGCAAAGCTGCGTGTCTTTCTTTTTGACTCTTTTGAGTTATAATTTGCAGTAAATATGAAAAACAAATTATGTGCATAATAAATATGATACGTGCCTGGATTTGTGTTTTTAATTTTTATTTCTAATTATTTTTGTGGTTACGTTGCTGTCTTGTCACTTTATACATCTCCTTTCATTCATGAGCCAAGATAAAAATTTTATTGACAGTTTGTTTCATGTCCAGTGGCAAATATTTCAAACACATTCAGGATGAGAACAAAATATAAATAGATGTAATAGCTTGGTTCTGTAATAGGGATCGACCGGGGAAAAGGAGGGGAATTTCAACAGTCACCAGCTGAAAATGTGGGTATAATGGATAGGGCATGAATTGTCTCCCTTGCATCAGGATACCCACGGACCCATAAAAGAGTTGCTACAAAAATTCTTAACGTGCAAGAAGCGTGGTACTCTCTCTTCACGAGACCTCAATTCGTCCCTATTCTAACCGGACATGGTTGCGTATTCACACATCCCGCACAACCAAACGGATGCTCCACTTTGCCAAGGGTTTTACTTGTGGTCGGAGGAAAACCATATTTCTATACCACCAGTCACCTTTGGGGTTCAAGGATGAAGACATGCTACTGTACATGTCTTGTATGTACAGAAAATAAGAATATACGTAACATATATATGTACAGGCACTCTTTCATACATTCAATTCAAAATATGGATTTAAAATATGAACAATTTCATTATATGTTATGAATTAATCTAATTTAATATGGCCATGTTCAGATATTATTATGTTGGTATCTTTTTCGGAAAAAAATAGAGCTAAATTTCCCTTAATATATTAGACATCCGGACAATTTCCAAAGAGTCTTCATCATTATCAATATTTAGAGTATGGTATCTCAACAACCCGACCAAAGAGCAGAAAAAAGCCGAAGACTACAAATGGGTCTTCAACACAGTTAGAAAATCTCACACCAGCAGGCGGGCTTCAGCTGGCCCCTCAATAATAATGTGTACTAGTTCATCGAAATGGACGCCACACTAAACTCCAAAGTAACGCTCCTTCTTGTATTTCAGATACAAATCATTTTAGTTATTTTAAGGATGTCTTTCATTGCAAAATTTTGAATATCAATTTTTAATATTTTGTTTATACATACTGTTTTAAAACTGTCCCCTACAACAATATATAGCACTGCATAACCTTTTGAATTAATAGATAGATATGTGTAATTTTTTTTGTAAAATCTTCAATATGTATTGATTTAGACTCTAGAATACTTCGGATTTGTAACCTCCAAGTAAAAAAACTTGTTGAATAATAAGATGTTATTTTTTTTAAATATTTAATCGAAATATTACAATGCATGTATTTGAATAAATCCGTGTGGTGGTGAATGAAAACGACAACTATTTCACATGAAGGAGTCAAACCAGCTAAGAAACTCTTATTCATCTGTAGATTGATCTTTATACATGACACGATATGTGGTTTTATTTATAATTATAATTAGCATAATGTCCAGTGGCAAACATTTCATATATGCTCAATAAGTTAAACAAATCAAATTATTCATTTATTTATGGTCTTCAAAAATAGACGATCGCGGAATGAAGGGCAGGAAATTAAGACTTCAAACGTTATAGCGGGATTGTTAAGTATGTGTGTGGATTTGCCTTGCAGAAAGATAAATGCTCTCCTCAAACAAGGCTTCAAATTTAAGGTTGATATACTGTTGCTTCGTATTTATGCATCCGATATACCAAACAAATCCTTTTTGAATCGATCTTTCTTCAAGTGTAAACGCTAAGATCGATCGCGATCGATCTTTCTTCAAGTGAATGATATATTTAGATATGAAAATAAATCTGCGCATGTTCGACGGCAAAAACACATGTGTTTAAAAACGATGGATGGGAAAAGATTCCGCCGTTTTTGGATTCTTCTTCTGAATCGATAAATTCTAGTTCTTTGCTGCAAATCCTCATCTTCAAAGGCATTGACAGTTTGTTTTTAA